ATTAATTTATTCTATCCCTCTCATTCTTGGCAATCTCTCTTCTTCTTTTATCTTCTCTTTTTTAATACTTTCTATATAACATTGATAATTTCTTGTAGTATCATCAATTGATTGTTGGATATTTGGAAGTATTTCTACTACTTCATTAATAAAAATTGATTATTCTTGTTTATTAATTCTTCTATTTTAATTTAAATGGATGTTTATAAGTTCAAAATATGGATGTTTAAATAGTTAATACATTTTATTAACACATCAAGTCAATTATTATTTTTATCACCATTTTATTTTAAACAAATGTTATTTTTATTTTAAATTTTAATCATTTTTGGATTAGTTTTTATAAAAACAATATTATAAAATAAAATTAATATCAAAGAAATAATAATATATTATTATTTCTTTTTTTTTTGTGTTTTTCAATAATTCCTAGAAAAAATTATATTTCTATGACATTAAATAATAATAATATTTAAAAGAATAATAGACAACATATAAAATAATGACATTGTGCATAGTATATAATAATTTAAATTGTAGTATTATTTATTTAATATAAAAATATAACCCACTCGCTGTTAAAGAATAAATAAAAATAAATGATATATAATAAAGATATGTCAATTTATCTATAAAGAAATAAGAAATTTTTCATATAATAAATAAATTTGATAGAAGATAAATTTAAAATTATATAAAATAAAGAATATATTTAGAAATAATCAACAAAATAGTTTTAATTAATACATAATCAACTAATAAAAAAATTGCAAACAACGAAAGTAACAATTGATGACATAAATAATATAAAACAATAATTATAAAAAAGATAAAATGTTTAATTTTTTATCTAAAAATTTCTAACAAAAAATGGAATATTTAGTGTTGTAATAAAATTAATTTCAAAATGAATATTGACAGAGAAATGTTATATACTAAAACCACCAAAATATTTATTTTTCAATGTACTAAAGTTCTGTTAATATTTTATTAATTGAACTATTTTCATATAATCAAAATTTTTTAATTAAACATTAATAATTTTCAAATAAAACGTAAAATTAAAATTGTTCATAAATTAATGAAAGTAAGTTATTGACTAGATATATGTTTATTAAATAATACTACTCCTTTATCCTTTATCCATACCCTATTGCTTTAATTTTGATTCTTTAAGAATGTCTTAATTCAAGTTCTTCATATAAAACTTTTTCTTAAGACAAGTGAATAATATGATGATTCAACAAATAAATTGTTCTTCTTCTTTTTAAACACAACAAAACTTTTCTTATTGACCAAAAAAAGATAGATCTAATTAGCTCTAATGAATTCAATAAATTGTAAATCATTTTGAATATAACTCATTTCAGAAAACGATAACTTGAATTTACAGATACTTAGCAAGAGGCTCTTCAGATAATTTATCTTTTCCATCAGTTTCTTTTGCAATTACAACTGTTTGTTGATAAATGGTTGTTTGTTTAGGAATTTGGTAATTGAAAAAAAATTTTTCACATAACTCTTTTACTTGGTTTTGTTCTTCTTTTTTAAATATTAAATAATTTTCCATTTCAGTACAACGTTTATTGCACTCTTCTAATGACTTAAATATTTCTTGGTTAATCATAAAATCACATGGAACTTCTTCCTCCATTTTTTTATCATTTTCGTATTGTACCTCTCTTTCTTCTTCTAGTCCAACCTTATTCTCTTTACCAAACTGAACAGTTTCTTCTTCATCTTTAAGTCCATATACTTTCTTTCTATACTCATTGTATTTGTCAGTTTCTTCTTCAGAAGGTATATAGTTGTCAATTGTTTCTATTTTTTTAATTTCTTCTCTAGCTTGTTTAGTTGTCATAACTCCTATATCAGTCTCTTTTCCATCTTCAATATACCTCTTATAATTTTCTATTCCTAGTGTTGAATTTGATAATTCACCAATACCAACTATTCGACTCCCATCAAATGCAGTTGTTTCAATAGTTAAATCCCAAGCAACTTTTCTTCTATCAACTTGTTTTATATTTGAAGAAATGTCAACTGATTTAACAAGTGATATATATTCTTCTTGTCCATTTACAACTTTAACATACTTATTTACTATATATCGTTCAAATATTGCCGTATCTGCATAAGAAAGGGCATTCTCTCGAGTGATGTATAACTCTTTCATTTGTTTAAATGTTAATGGTTTTCCTTTGTCTTTCCTTCCTCTACTTTTAGGTGTTCTTGTACCTCTTAGTCTTTTCTTTTTCCTTTCCTCTTTTTCATCTTCTTCTGTTCCATCTTCTTCAACACTTATATCTTCTTCATCAAGAAGGTCTTCATCACTATGATATTCTTCTTGGTCATCAAGAAAGTCATCTTCATCATCATCTTCTTCTTCCATTTTCTTTGTTTTACTTCTAGTAACCCGTCGTGGGATATCAGACATTCTTTAAATTTATATTAATAATAGTTCTTTTTATTTTTCATAAAACTATACTTAAACCATTAATTATTTAAATTAAATAGTAAATTAGATTTAGTTTGAACTTGATTCTTGTCCTTCCTGAGTGACTAATTGGGCAATTAAGAAATACAATGACAATCCAAGGAGGATGAAAGAGACAATAACAACTATTCCAGTAAGAATATAATTAGCCAACACCTTAAATGTATATGGGGTTTTTATAGAATCTTTACCAAAATCTTTCTTATTTTTATAAATGGATAATATTTCTAATGTTGCAGGAATAGTAAAAGCTAAGAATATTGCTAATAATCCAGTAACATCAAATATAACTTGCAAAGATCCTATTGCACATGTCAATAATAAAGGTGGAAGATAGGCAATTGCAAGACTAGCATATTGTGTAATTTTGTTATGTTTTTCACGGAAACTATAAGTAAAACATGTTTGAATATTTGTAGATAATGTTGTTCCAAGTAATGGATATGAGTTACATAAATTAACTACAGGGAATAATAAAACAATATATTGAATTGGATAAGCATACCACTGTGTTTCTCCTTTTCCCCATCCTCCTGATAAACCAGTATATTTTGACCATGCATTAGTAATTGGTGACAAAACATCACTTCCAAATGTCCAAGAACAAATAAAACCAATTAAAAAATAAAATGCTGCACTCAACAACATAGCACCCGCTGTAGTGTAAAACAAATACTTCTTCTTATTTACTGGAGTAACAGCGTCTGGTAAATTTTGATGGCAAGTTAGAGCAAATGCAGTATGAGTGAATGCAGTACCAAATCCAACCCATTTAAAAGTATACAAAAATGATATATCAGAATCTATTGGTCCACTTACAATCAATTGTACAATACAAGTTATTAACATTACACTAAAAGCAAAAAATCTATAAAAAGTTAATGCCATTTGTAATTTTCCTTGTTTACTCAAATCAATGAAACTTAGTGATATAACTATAATAGAATATATTGCCAATGATATATAATATGCAAGTTGACATTCCCAATGTCCTTTTCTTTCGATACAACGCTCAGTATCTCCATAAATCATCCAAAATAAGGTTGTTAAAGTACTAACTGATGTTGCAGCATACGCCCATAATGACCCATAAAGGTATAGTACTAAACAAGCAAAATTAAACCAACGTAAAAATTGTCCACCCCACATTTCTCCTAGTGTAGTATAATCAAATAAACGAAACTTTAATTCATTCACTGGGACTGTATTAAACTCATTCTCTCCTCCATTTTCCTTAATTTCTTTTCTTCCTTCTGAACGAGCCATAGAGTCTATTAAATAATTCATAGTTGTCACATTAATAATAAAGAAACCAATTAAAATAATAGCTGACAATGGCAGTCCACCAGTAAAATAAGCAAAAGGAATACCAAATACACCGGTTCCAATGATATAATTAATAACAGTAGCAAATCCAGCAGCCTGAGAATATGAATGAGTTTCTTTCTTTTCTTTTTCATTTAATAACAACTCTTGTTCTTTTTTTAGTGGTTTAGTGTCATAGTTAGAGACAGAAGTATCATCACAAATAATGTTCTTCTCTTCTTCTTCACTCATACCTCTCAATGCATGTTATTAAGATCTATTCTTCTACTTACATCTAATTCTTCTTAAGAATTTATCCATTTATTTTAAAATTCTAAGATATTCTTTTGAACCTTCGGCATATGATCTTAAATTTATTACTTTTCTCTTTTCATAATATAATAAACAAAATAATAATACTTAGTAAATTAATAATATAAACTAACAGGTATCATTTTTTGGTAGTCTTTTTTGTTGATTTACGAGTATTTCGAGTTTTTGGCTTTTTTAAGTCTAAGTCTTCATCTTCAATATATATCTCTCCATCATCCGTTGAAGCATCTAAATCACCAAAACTAGAAAGAAAAGATTGGTCTTGTTCTTCAACTATCTCATCTAAAGCTTCATCACGAAAATCAATCTGTTCATCACAATTTGGTCTAGAAGGACAGACAATAAAATTAAAGATTTCTTCTAGTTTATCAATTCTTTTATTACTTTGACGTAAACAAAAGATTCTAATTAATTCATCAATAACTTCATCACTTTTCTTTTCTAGTGCACTTTGTACTCTTTTTGAATTTTTATTAAATTCTGATTTAATAGTTTGTTCTAGTCCACAAAACGCTAATACATTCATTAGCCTTTCAGTAGCAACACCCATAGTTCCATAAAATAAACGATGGATTTGAACTAATTTGTCTGTATTTAATTCATTAATATTTGTAGAAATTTTTTTACTTGTTCCTAGAATGATTCCTTCTCCATCTAAACGTAATGTTTTTGATTTTTGAGGAATATCATTTTGATATCTATCAATTAAATGATGTTCTCGAGTAGTCCTATGCATATTTATTAATGAATTAATTTGTGTTATCTAAATTAAACCCTTATTCTTTTTTAATTCTTTTTTTCATTCAAATAAACTATCATTTTGTGTAGTTTTCAAACTGTTTTTTTATGCTTTTTAAGTTTTTACCTCTTTTTGTTTATTTATTTAAATTGTGGTTTGAATGTTTTTTAAAAATTGAAATTTTTGTATATTCCTATGTAGACAATAATTTATGTTATAATCAGACGTTTTATGATATACTAAAAAACTGACTTATATAATAAAATTATTATCATTATTTTTCATTTTCTTATATATAATACATAAAAGAACTGTTTAAATTAATTAAAATAAATTATGAATAAGAAAATAATTGGGCATTATGAAATAATGATAGTCTCTATGTATTTTAATGATATTAATGATTTTATTAATTTAGAAATTGGCTGTAAAAAGGTTTAAAGGAAATATGGAAAGATTTCATTTTAATCCCAATTTCATTAACAACAAAAACCCTGAAATATTTTCCTTCATTAGAAACTTTACATTTATATAATAGAAATGATAAAGAATTACATAACAAACAAATAATTAAATATATAATATGGTATAAAGTATCATATACATATTATATGAAACATAAATCTAATACTTTAAGGGAATTTAAAAATATTACATTTAACGAAGATGACGTCACTAATTTTGGATATGAAATTCCAAAACAAATAAAAATCGTTAAGAAAAATTGTTTTATAAATAATCATTCATTCAAAGAAATAACTATTCCACCATCTGTTCTTTCTATTCACCGTTCTTGTTTATGGGTTTGTAAACAATTACGATCATTAAAAATACCACAACAAGATTACATTATATTCTCTAATCATCTTTTCTTTAATTTTCATAATCTTTGTTCATTGGAATTACCTAATTCTATAGTAAAAATAAATAATAAAAAAATTCCATCAATACAAAATAATCAAATATTTAATATTCCAACAACTGTTACTTCATTAAATAACTATTGTTTTTCTGAATGTTCATCACTATTATCAATTCAAATTCCTTCTTCAGTTATACTTATTGGGAATTCTGCATTTAAAAAATGTTATTTTCTTCAAGTAATTCAACTCCCAATTGACATACTTACATTACCAAAATCTTGTTTTGCACTATGTACTTCTCTTCAAACAATTATACTCCCAAATTCTTTAAAGTGTTTAAGAGATAAATGTTTTGTTAATTGTTATTCTCTCCATTCAATTACTATTCCAAACTCAGTTAGTCAAATTGGGTCACATTGTTTTGAAGGTTGTAGGTCATTATCATCGGTAATACTATCAACTTCTTTATCTTCAATTAGTTCTAATTGCTTTAGTTTTTGTTCATCTCTTCGTTCTATAACATTACACACCTCAATACTTTCTATAGAAACATATTCTTTTAAAAATTGTTATTCTCTAACAACAGTTCAAATTAATTCACCATTATGTTCAATAGATCCAACATCATTTGAAGGATGTATTAATTTACATGAAATTTAATATTATTTAATGAAACAATAATTAATTATTTATTCTAATTATTAAATAATACTTTATAATAAAAATAAATAGTATTTAAGTGAAAAATGCAATAACTTAATTCTAAAACATTTTCTTAGCAACATCCAGATTGTTTTTCAGGACTAACAATGGTAATATTATTCTTCTTTGGAATATTTGCCATAATCTCTTTATTATTATAAATCCCTTTTGCTAACGTTTCAAATATTTCATTTACACCTTCTCCTGTTTTTGCAGAACATCTCATATGTTGATATCCTTGTTCTTTAGCAGCAGCATCTGCTTGTTCGGTTGTAACTTTTGAAGGTAAATCAATTTTATTTCCAACAATAATAATGAATGCAATTTCTTGTTCAATTTGATATTCTTGAATCCAATGAGTAATCTACAATAATATTAATATCTTCTTTAATAATATACAAAAAGAAACAAACTTTATTAAATGATTCAATATCAGAAACATCATACACAACAAGACATCCTTGTGTTCCTTTATAATATGATGATGTTACATTTCGAAATCTTTCTTGACCAGCTAATAAAATAATATTATTATTTTATTCCTCTTTTTTCTTAATCTAAAATAACAAACCAGTATCCCATAGTTGTAGTTTAATTGTTAAATCTCCTACTTTAACTAATTTGGAATTAAAATCAACACCAATTGTTGATATCAATTCATCATGAAATTTATCTTCACAATATCTTTCCATAATAGCAGTCTTACCAACTGAAGGCTCTCCAATAATTAAAACCTTAAATGTGTAATCAGCTGCGTTTGACATTTATTTTATTTTTATAGATTCTTTATTTTCATTTTACTTTTTTCTCATCTTCTTTTTTAAACATCAACGAAATTTCTTTGTTTTGTATTTTCTTTTCAATATTTTTTTTTTGATTTTTATCACATTTTTAATATATCAAAAATATATTTTATGATATATATCTCAAAAAAATAAATATATTATACAGAAAAATTAAAAATGAAATAAAAAATATGAGGTAAGAAAAAACCCTTAGATCTCATTTTAAAAATCACGGGTTCACTAAAAATTTTCAAGTGATATTCGGAATGAGCAGCAGACCATTTGTCACTATT